AGCAATAAATGCCTGCCTCAAACAACAAGAAAAATCTCAAACAGCCTAACTTTATAACTTAAGGAACTAGAAAAAGAACAACAAAGTCTAAAGTTAGTAGAAGGAAGGAGGTAACAAAGATCAGAACAGGAAAAAAAGAGAGAGAAAAAAGAAATAGAGACTAAAAAGACAATAGAAAACATCACTGACACTAAGTGCTGGTTCTTTAAAAAGATAAAGTTGACAAACTTTTAGTCTCACCAAGAAAAGAAGAGGGGACTAAAATAAAATCAGAAATGAAAGTGGAAAGAGCCTGGCCAGTGTGGCTCAGTGGTTGAGCATTGACCCATGCATCAAGAGATCCGATTCCCGGTCAGGGCACGTGCCCAGGTTGTGGGCCAAATCCCCAGTGAGGGGCATGCAGGAGGTGGCCAGTCAGTGTTCTCTCTCATCAATGTATCAATGTTTCTATCTCTCTCTCCCTCTCCCTTCCTTTCTCTCTCTAAAAAAAAAAAAGAGAGAGAGAGAGAAAGTGGAAACATTACAACTGATACCACAGAAATGCAAAAGCTTGTAAGAGCCTACAATGAACGATTATATGCCAACAAACTGGACAACCTTCTGGAAAAATTCCTAGTAACATACAACCTACTAATACTGAATCATGAAGAAATAGTCAATCTGAACAGAACAGTTACTAGTAAGGAGACTGAATCAGTAATCAAAATCTCCCAACATATAAAAGTCCAGGATCAGATGGCTTCACAGTGAATCTGCCAAACATTCAAGAATAATTAATATCAATTCTTCTCAAACTCTTCCACAAAATTGAAGAGGAAACACCTTTAAACTCATTTTATGAGACCATCATTACTCCGGTACCAATACCAGACAAGGAACAAAAGATAGCAAACCAAATTCAACAATTCCTTAAAAGGATCATACACCATGATCAAGTAGGATTTATTCCAGGGATGCAAAGATGGTTCGACACCCACAAATCCAATGTGTGCGATACAGCACATAACAAAATAAAGAAGAAAAATCTTATATGATATTAATAGATGCTGAAAACCCATTTGATAGAAGTCAGTATCTATTTATGATAAAAACTCTCAACATAATAAGAGCCATATATGACAAGCCCACTCCAAACATTATACTCAAGGGTGAAAAGCTGAAAGTTTTTCTGCTAAAATGAGGAACAAGACAAGGGTGCCCTCTCTCACACTTTTATTGCCTTATTATTTTTTAATCACCTGAAGATATTTTTCCATTGATTTTTTTTTTCAGATAGAATGGGAGGGAGGGAGAGAGAGAAAAACATTAATGTGAGAGAGACATATTGATTGGGTTGCCTCCTGCACAATCCTGGCAGGGGTTGGGGACTGAACCTGCAACCCAGGTACATGTCCTTGACTGGGAGTCAAACCTGTAACTCTTTGGTCCATAGACAGATGGTCTAACCACTAAGCCAAACTGGCCAGAGCTTGCCACTTTTATTAAACATAGTATTGGAAGTTCTAGCCAGAGCAATTAGGTGAGAAAAATAAATAAAAGGCACCCAATAGAAAGGTAGAAATAAAACTTACTATTTGCAGATGACATAATATTATATATAAAACATCTTAGAGACTTCACCAAAAATCTGTTAGAACTAATAAATGAATTCAGTAAAGTTGTAGAATACAAAATCAGTGTATAAATACTGTTGCATTTCTGTACACTAATAACACACTATCAGAAATGAAATTAAGAAAATCCTAGTTACAATTGCATCAAAAAGAATAAAATACATAGGAATACATTTAACCAACAATGGAAAAGACCTATGCACTGAAAACTGTAAGACACTGATGAAAGAAATTGAAGAAGACACAAATAAATGGAAAGATACTTTGTGTTCATGGATTGGAAGAATTAATATTGTTAAAATGTCCATATTACCCAAAGCAATCCACAGATTCAATGCAATCCCTATAAAAAATCCAGTGGCATTTTTCCTAGAACTAGAACAAGCACACCTAAAATTTGTATAGAACCACAAGAGACTCTGAATAGCCAAAGCAATCTGGGGAAAGTACAAAGCTGGTGGTATCATGTTCCCTGATTTCAAACTATACTACAAAGCTATGGTAATCAAAACAGTATGGTATTGGCAGAAAAACACACACATAATCAAATGGAACAGAATAGAGAGCCCAGAAATAAACCCTATGACAGAGGAACCAGTAGTATTCAGTGGGAAAGGACAGTCTCTTTGGTGAATGGTGATGGGAAAACTGGCCAGCCACAGGCAAAAGAATGAAACTGGACCACTGTCTTACACCATACACAAAAATTAAGTCAAATTGATTGGGGATGCAAATACAAGTCCTGAAACCATACAACACCCAGAAGAAGACATGGGTGGTAAACAAGTGAGACTACATCAACCAAAAGAGCTTCTACACAGCAAATGAGAGCATGAACATAATGAAAAGGCAGCCTACTGAATGGGAGAAATATTTGCAAAGAATATATCTGATAAGGGGTTAATATTCAAAATACATAAAGAACTTGTATAACTCTAGCAAAAAAAAAAGAAAAAGGTTTAAAAAATGGGCAGAGGATTTGAATAGACATTTTTCCAAAGAAGATATCAGATGACCAACAGCTACATGAAAAAAGGAAATGCAAATCAAAACCACTGTGAGATACCACCTCATACCTGTCAGAATGGCTATTATCAAAAGATGAGAAATTAGTATTGGCAAGAATGTGGAGAAAAGGGAACCCTTGTGCACTGCTGGTGGGAATATAAATTGGTGTATCCACTATGGAAAACAGTACAGAGGTTCCTCATAAAGTTAAAAATAGAACAACCGTATGATCCAGCAATTTGACTTCTGTATTATTAGAATAAAATAATTTGAAAAGATATCTGCACCCCCATGTTCACTGCAGCATTGTTTACAAATAGCCAAGATACGGAAGTAACCTGGGTGTCCACCAGTGGATAAGTGGATTAAGAACATGTGACATACACACGCGCGAATATTAATCAGCCATAAAAAGAAGGAAATCTTGCTATTTATGACAACATGGATGGACCTTGAGGGTGTTATGCTACATGAAATAAGTCAGAGAAAGCCAAATACCATATGATCTCACCAAACAACAACAACAAAAACCACCAAACACCCAAGTTCATAGACATAGAGAACAGATTGGTGGTTGCCAGACATAGAGTTAAAAAGTACACATTTGCAGTTATAAATAAGTCATGGGAATAAAATGTACAGTGTGATGATTATAGTTAATAATACCGTATTGCATATTTGAGAGTTACTAATCTTAAAAGTTCTCATCACAAAAAAGATTTTGTAGCTATGTATGGTGATGGATGTTAACTAGATTTAGTGTGGTGATCACTTTGCAACATGTACAATTATCAAGTCATTATGTTGTACTCCTGAAACCAATGTTATATATTAATTATACCTCAATTAAAAATAAAAAAGAATTCATGGTGCCTGGCTACACCTGCACCCCCCTACACCATGCCCCACTAACGTCCCCTGAAGGGGCTGTGACTGAAAGCTCTGAGTGCAGACACAGCGTTACTTTCCCTTATACCGCCAGGCTTGTGCTTGCTACCCAACTCTTCAAACTAAGCATTATATTGTTTAAAGATGCATATATATGGTCTATAAAGACAAGCAAAGAAATGATTACAACAAAAGTCAATAATGGCTATTTCTAGGAAGAGAGAAGGGTTTGTGATTCGGAAGAAGTACACAGGCAGCTCCTGACAGAGGTCCCAAACGTGGCTGCACAGGCTCCACTGCGCAGCCCTAAGGGACACCATTCACACAAGCCCTGGCTCCACAGGTACTGGAGAAAATCCATGTCTTTACCTGCGTGGTGGCTACAAAGATACTCATATTTTTCTTTAAAAAGAACAATATGTTATTAATTCCCTACAGAATAATACATACATTTTATATAGACATCTGAATATATTACTGATTGCACCAGGAGTTGGCAAACTTTTCCATAAAGGGGCAGACAAGTAAATATTTTAAGCTTTACAGCACATAAAGGTCTGTGTCCCAACTACTCAACCCTGCTGTTGCAGCATAAAAGCAGCCAGACAATATATAAAGGGATACGTGTGGCTGTGTTCCAACCGACTTTATTTACAAAGCCAGGTGGCTGGATTTGGCTTGGAGCCACAGTTTATCAAGCCCCAGACTACTCTACTACTCTATATACCTATATATATATACACACACACAGACTACATATAGACCGTATACAGAGAGAGAGAGAGAGAGAGAGAGAGAGAGAGAGAAGAAGAAGAAGAAGAAGAAGAAGAAGAAGAAGAAAAGAGAGAGAGAGAGAGAGGTGGTTTACCCAACGGATTGAAAGTAGTTGGGAATGCCCTGGCCAGTTTGGCTCAGTGGTTGGAGCGTCGGCCTATGGACCAGAGAGTCCCAGGTTCAGTTCCCGCTAGGGACATACCAAAAAAATAGTGGTTGGGAACAGAGGACCTGTTGGAGGTACAGTAGGAAGATCAGTAGGTATGCTTCTGTACTGTGAATTGTTTGATCTAAATTTGACATTTTTTATGAACTTTGGGAGAAAATTGCTATTTGAACCTTGATTTCATTAGGAAACTGTTTTTATCAGAATTATTCAGACAAATTCTTTCATTAATAATAGCAAACTCTACAACAATAATGCCAACTGAAAAAAAAATACCATCTGTTATTAATTGATCATTAGCTGATATCAGACATGATTCCAGGCACTTTATATACACTATTTTTCTTCCTTACAGCAGTTCTTCAAAGTAGGTATTACTATTATTGTTATTAGTATTCATTTTGGAACTGAGAAAGGCTGGTCACATATACCTAATAAAGCTGAGATTTGAGCCCAGGTTGTTCAGCTTCAAAGTTCAGTCTTTTTTTATAGTACACTGCCTCTGTTAAAGGCCTCCTGTTGTAATGCTGCCAAAATCACTTTGGTTTTAGACTGTCTTCGCAGTTTTACCGACTTAGAAGAACTTGATGAGACAGAGTTATATATGTGCCACAAATGCAAAAAGAAACAAAAGTCCACTAAAAAGTTTTGGATTCAAAAACTACCCAAGGTAAGTGTTGAGTTTCACATTACAATGCAATTTCAAGGGAAAGTATTTATGTCTGATGAAAAGAAAATTGTTTTTGTAACTTTGTATCATATATTCTGTATTAATCTCCAGTGTTTTCAGTAAAAGCTAAATAAACATTTTTGAATAATACATACTTAAATGTGTCCTGATGACAATTTCCAGTGTGTGGAGAGAGAGAGAGGTTCTCACCACACCAACAAGCAGTTCTCCCACACCAGCTGGGGGTCCTACTCTTCAACTCAGTTCTGACACTATCCGAAAGTAACAGCAGATCCCACAGGTTGAGGGCTCAGTCCCACAAAACTGTCCTCCCCTTCAGAGCCAGTCATAAGCCCAGGTTGTTACTTTATGTTTCTGACCTGCACAGTGGAGATCATCTTGACCCCTCCCCCCCTCGGTACTTTAGAAGATGCCTGTACCTCTATGGGCTATAAATCAGGTTTCCAAGTCCCTCTTTAGGCTCCATTAATTTGCTAGAGGAACTCACAGAATTGAGGAAACCTGTCTACTCCCTAGATTACTGCTTTATTACCAAGGATATTAAAGGATATGAACCAACAATCAGATGAAGAGATACACAGGGCGAGGGCCCAAACAAAGGACCTTATGTTCTTGTGCAGTTTTGGTCCTGGCATGGTGGGACACGAAAGATTCTGGTTCCCCAACCTGGAAGCTCTCCAAATACTGTCCTTTTGGGTTTTTATGGAGGCTTCATTACATAGGCATGACTGATTAAATTGTAGGCCATTGGCAATTGATTCAACGTCCATTCCCTCTCCCCTACCCAGAGATCAGGGAGGAAGGACCCTCATCCTAAGGTGAGGTCCACTTATCCCCTAGATAACATAACAAAAGACACCTTCATCACTCTCATCACTTGGGAAATTTTAAGAGTGTTAGGAGCAGTATGCCAGAGAGAGAACTGAGACCAGGTACACATTCCATTATTACAAATCATGTGTCACATAATATATGCATGGAAGAAAGCAGTGTCAGGGATCAAAAGAAAAACTGATAAGCCACCTGAAATATTTGAGACAGTTAACCAGATAGTTAATTTTGATTGAACGGTAAATTAGGTGTTTATTTACAATCTTTGTCCTTATTTCTGGTCTAGGTGCTATGCTTACATTTGAAAAGATTTCATTGGACAGCGTATTTAAGAAACAAAGTTGACACATATGTAGAGTTTCCACTGAGAGGCCTAGACATGAAATGCTACTTACTGGAGGTAAGGTAACACCTTTGTTAGCATGGTGAAAGATGGCTCTTCAGTAAAATGAAGTCTTCACAGACAGGGGGTGGAAGTCGTCATTGAGGTGGGAGATACCGATGCCATTGACCACTGCTCCTAACTGAGTCCTGGGATGCCTTCTCCCTTGTCCTGCAGCCTGAGAACAGCGGCCCTGAGAGCTGCCTGTATGACCTGGCTGCTGTGGTGGTGCACCATGGTTCCGGGTGAGTATGCCAGCGGCTTGTCTGGGTAGGACCACCCGGCGAAAACCTACGTCTTGCACTACTCTTGATAATTCTCCCCACACTCCCTCAAATATAAATTCAGGTACATTGAAGAGGGTGAAGTAGAATTTTCCTTCGATTTTGGTGTGAAAGAATATTCCTGCAAGAGTGTTGTAAAGTGTGAAGAGAAGGCACATAAAAGCAAAATGGAGCATGGTTCATTTGAGCCCAGCATCCAGAACCCAATCTGTTGTTCACAAAATCCTGAGTTGTTTTTTTTTATCCTCACCCGAAGACATTTTTGCATTATCTTCAGATAGAGGGGGAGGGAGAGAGAGAGAAACATCGACGGGAGAGAGACACATCAAGTGGTTGCCACCCACAGGACCCCAACTGGGGCCGGGGACAAACTGCAACTGAGGTACATGCCCTTAGTGGGACCTGAACCTTGGGTCTCTCTGGTCCACAGTCCGATGCTCAACTTCTGAGCCAAACCGGCCAGGGCTGAGCATTTTTTACTCAAGTTATTTCCTTTGCCAAATGATATTTAAATGGAGAAAATGGAAAATTATTTAGTTTACTTCATGTCCTGTACTTTAAAGACTTATTTTTTATTTTATTGAATAATTATTATCCTTTATCCTGAAAGTCTTTAGTAGGGGCATATACATTCTGATTTCTGTTCTGTTTGAGAAGGGCTATTTTACCTTCAAACTTGGACTCCTATTACTTGGGCAAACCACTATCCATATTGACAATCATTTTCCTTCAGAACTTTGTAGACATTGCTTCATGACTTCACCACTCATAGAGTTATAAACAAATCCACTACAATTCTGACTCTTCATTAAAAAGAAAAAGTTTTTATTGATTATTTTTAGAGAGATAGAAACATTGATGAGAGAGTAACATTGATTGGCTGCCTCCTGCACACCCCCTACTAGGGATCAAGCCTGCAACCTGGGCATGTGCCCTGACTGGGAATCGAACCAGCAGCCTTTTTGGTGCATGAGATGTTGTTCAATCCACAGAGCCACACCACCTGGGCATAACTCTTCACTTCTTTATAGGCAACCTGTTTCTCTTTGGAAGACTGTAGGATCCTTTGTCTTTGGACTTGAGAAATAACATCTGATACATTCCTGCTTGAGAGTTGATAGGGACAGTCTCAGCCTGGTGTCTTAAGCTAATGTAAATGTTTCTTTTTTCCATCCCATCCTCCTCTCTCTTCTGGAACACCTTTCCTGTTAAATGCATAGTAAAATTTCTGGGTATTTATTTTTTGCATATTTTAACTATTCTTTAATGTTTTCCATTTATTTGTTCCTGAAGATGGCCATGGCCTATTTTGCCAAATCACCAATTTGGGTTACATTTGTATCCAAATAGAAAATTAGCTCCTCCATTAATTTTCATATTGTGGAAATCACATTTTTCTCATAACTTTTTTGTAATAGCCTATTCTTGTTTTATGGTTGCAGTATCTTCTTGAAACCATTGCTACTAATTAGAATTTTTAAAATTCTTTGTGTTTCTTTTTTTGGGGTGTTTTTTTGCCTTCATTTACTCAGTGGTTAATTACTGTTTTTTCCTGGCACTTCTCTTTCATGTTCTTTTTCTCCCCTCAAGACTGATGATTTTTGGATGTTTATTCAGAATCATAATAAATGATGAGATTTGTCATTATTGGTAAATGGTAGGGGTTTTGCTAACAGTTGTGAAGGTCACTGTTACATGTGCAGGATGTTCTACCTGGGAGGGCTCCAGGGAGAGTGGGTGGGTTGTGCTGACAGAGACAAGGCCTTGGTCACCAAAGAAGGGAGAAGGCACTTCCTCAAGTCAGATTACTTTCTTAAGCTGCTTTTCTCCCCAAAACTCTGATGGGAAGTCTCGTTCTCAATTTTCCATGTTTTCATAGGCCCTGACCTGTGCTTACTGGATTGAGAGTTATTCAGCTATTTGTTTTCTCTGTTAATCCAGTACTGTGTGAATATGCCTTCGTGTTCTAGAAAAATCTTACCCTCTGGTTCCAGTGTCAATCTGTTCCTTGTCATTTCAGTAGGTTTTGAGGGAGAGAAACATGTGAGCTCAATAAACCATCTTAAACCACAATTCTCTAGGATTTATTCAATTGTAGTACTTACTAAAATTTATTGTATATCTAATAAATTATATGGTTGCATAGATCCTTTTGTGATTTTCTTTGATCTTTGGACTTTTCCTTACAGGGTTGGTTCTGGGCATTACACAGCATACGCAACTCATGAAGGTCGCTGGTTCCATTTCAATGACAGTACTGTGACGCTGACTGAGGAAGACACCGTGCTGAAGGCCAAGGCCTACATCCTTTTTTATGTGGAACGCCAGGCCAAAGCTGGATCCGATAAACTTTAATACCTCCTCTAAATCATCACTCATCAACTATGCCGGACAAACATTTCCAATTTTCCATAAATACTTGATCCAAGATTTAATTTCATTATGCACTTTTCAATTTCCTATTTTGGGTTTAGTTTTGTCAATGGTAGTGACTTATTGAACATGGGCACCAACTGATTTTTTTTAGTTCTACCAGAAAACCTCAGCAGATATTTTGATTTGCTGCTTTAGTTGTAATAATTGTTTTTATATGTAGTTCTAAGAACTTAGTTCTATTTGACTTTTTTATATTAATGTTTCCATTCTCACTCTGAGGCACATTTACATCAATGCTCGTTGCTCTCACTTGCTGACTGAAGAACAGGTGCCTGCTGCTGCTGGAGGGCAGGCTGGCTCGAAATCGAGCATCTCGTGTGTAGTTTGTGGCCCATGAAGGTTCAGTGACGGCTCAGGAATCACTTTGCCTGCTTGTAAAGGTAACTGAGAGAGCGCCAGTAAGTAGACCAGGTAATCAATGCTCTTGGTATCTCTCAAGGCTCCTGTTTATCAGCACTAAATAAATGTGTTGGTTCAGTGGTATCTGTACTGCAAATTCAAGAATTACTTTTGGTTTTTGGTTTTGAGGTTTGTCTTTTTTAATGTGTGTTTTCATGGAGAAGAGTACAGAAAAGACAAAATACATTTAGTGTTTAAAAAATTCTGTGACCCAGCTATATGGTATAGGTGTTACCCAGTGAGATGCAGACATAACTTGTTTGCTTTTTTGCATCAGCATCTAATTCCCCTATTAGTGCAGCATTGGGGACAGCTGCATGTCCACTGAATCTTCCTTCTTCTTGACCTAACCTCCAGTTTATTCTGCCCATCACCCACTCTCCAGGCAACACCGTGGGGCTGCTTCTGCAGAAGGAAATGAGTCTTTATCACCCTAGGTCTTATCAACTCATTGGCCTATCCTAACAGCAGGGCAAGTTGAAAACATTCTCACTTTGAATAAGTAGTTTCTATTCCTTAGTAGTCTGTTTAAACTTTTCAAGAAAAATAGGTACAAGCACTATTCACATTTAACTAAAAATGGAATTTGGAACCAGAATCCCATAATATTAAATCCCACATATTCTCAGAGCAGACCACATCTGCCAAACACTTTTTTTTTTTTAAAGATCTAATTGGCTTTATTCAACAATTCATGAATCGAGCGGCATCCCATTCAGTAAATAGAAAGGTGCTCCCATCCACTAAACACTTCAACACGACTAGGAGCAAAGAGGAATCATGTCTAACCTCGTCCTACCAAGTCTGTTGGCCACTGGCCACAAATTTAATTAAATGAAAGCACTCAGTCCTTCTGTTACCCTGGCCACCCTGCAAGCACTCAGCAGCCACAGTGCTGCGCAGACCGAAACCTTGTCAGTATGTCGCGTTTTCATGGGTGGTGCTGGTCTGAGTTTTCACTCCACAGAAAAAAGCTTTGCCATTATATTTAAATCTTACAATTTAGTCTAGAAGATAGTTAAGAGAGGAACACGTGTTTAAAATGGTTCACAATGCAAAATTACATTATGTGGACTAGATGAAATTGTCATATTTGACCATTTTTATCTACAAAAATGACAGTTTTATTCAGTTTGAGCTTACATATCAGCACATTCACAAAACTCCTTTGAACCCAGACTCTTTGCTGTAGAAGGTGCACAGCTGTAACTTCTAACATTTGCACCTGGATCTCAAATCTGAGTGGGCGCCGCTATAACTTCAGCAGTAAGGCCTTGGGCAGTATTGATGTTGGTGGAGAAAAGCTGTCTTTATACAGATGGAAGTTAGCAACAGACGACTAGTTTGTTGGGGAAGATAGTCCTCAAAAGGCAGCACTGTTGGCTTAAGAGATGAACCCATCTCCTCTTTGAATCTCTAGTATTCTTATTGTTTGATTTTACTTAAGCAGAACTGTTTGAATATCATGAAGGCTCTTTGGAAAAGTGATTGGACCCGTTTGAATTGTGCATTAACACCAGTGATGTAAATGTGCCTGTTTGTATTTTAAATTTTAAATGTGTAGCCTTATCACACCTGTTCTGAAAGCTGACCTTTCTGTGCTCTTCAGGGCTCTCCCTGTGCCATGCTTTCTTGGCGTGTGTAGTCCTCGCTCAGAGCTCATGCAGAGGCAGGGCCTCACGCCCAGTCATGTGGCTCCTTGGACAAGAAACCTTTCTCAGAAGTCCTCCCACATATGTGGGTGATAGAAACAGTTTGTGGCAACACAAATCTCTCTCCATGGTGGAGAAACCTTTGCTAATCCACTGTATTCTACTCAGTGTCTAGTGATGACAAATGTAATAGAATTAAACCAGTCAAATGTACTGGCCCTGGTTGAGTGTTAAATGTGTATCTCACCTGTGGAACCTACTCAGCAGCTTGGTTTCTGGGGTTGGGGACATATTTATTTCTTAAAGCCAAACCTCTCCTTCATTGGTTTAGTGTACATAAGTCTATTTAGATATACTTACCCCACTTCAACCTCCACCGTCCCCTAAACTCTCTCACGTCCCCTGTTGCTGAAGTGGCCTCTTCACTGGGGCCCTGGAAAAGTGCATGAACAAAGTCTGTTCCTGCAGCCAGGGCAGGGGTTGCAGGTGGCTCACGTGGCCACAGGAATGCACCCACAGCACAGGGAGAGGTGGGCACATGGTGTCGTGCTGTCGTCCAAGTCTTTGCACCACCTGCCTGGATGCAGCACCTTCCCCCTCAGGTTGGAGTGTGCCGGGCTCCAGACTACCCTCCGCACGTGTTGGTTGTGCTGTGATATAATCATTTGCCATTAAAACCTAGTTTGTATGATGCCGAGAGGATTAATTGTGCAAGTGACTGATTTCTTTTAAGTTGTAATCACATCCCTTTTCTGCTTCAACAACTTGAACTGTTTTATGGAAAGTATCATTAAAAGTCTGGTCTCTTTCCTTTTGATTGTGATTTCTGAACACCTTTCACTGGAGCCAAGTAAATAATATCCTTGCTCAAGCTCTGGGCCTTATCAGTCAGTCAACAGGTGGTAAGTTCTTACAGAACCCTTGTTATCAGGGGCTGCTGGCTTACAGGGCCACAGATGAAGTGCCCTGTAGGGGCAGGACGAGACCCTCCATCCAGTACCTGCCGTCGGGAGCTTGAGGGAGCTCACCATGTGGAAGGAAATCATTCTCACTCCTGTGCCAGCTGATCTTTTAAAAATGAGGTCGATTTACCTACTTCACAGCCAGATTCTACCCTGAGGAACCAGGTTTTAGGCTCTGGTCTTCCTCTTTTTTTTTCCATCCTCACCTGAGGATATTTTTCTATTTATCTTCAGACAGAGTGGGAGGGAGAAAGAGGGAAACATCAATAGGTTGCCTCCTGCACCACCTGACCAGGGCTGGGGACGAACTGCAAATGAGGTACGTGCCTGTGGCCGGAATCTAACCTGCGACTCATTGGTCCACTGGCCGACGCTCTATCGCTGAGCCAAACTGGCCAGGGCAGCTGTGGTCGTCTTTTAAAGTAAAACAGTCAAGTAAGAGCTGTTAAAATATATTCTGCTTTACCGTAAGCTCCTATATACTACCTCTCTGCCTCTGTGTCCCCTGCAAACAGAAAAAACAAGAACCACCCTGTGTCCACACCATGGTTTTACTGTGTTACTTATTTGCCTGTTCCTACCAGTCTTCTAAAACTAAAAACATGGGGGTGATGAACATACAATACAATATACAGGTGATGTATCATAGAATTGTATACCTGAAACATAATTTTATTTACCAGTGTCACCCCAAAAATTCAATAAAAAGGAAAATAAGATAAATGAAACTGAAGACAGAGGCACCTGCAAACCCAAACGCTTTTGCTTCCAGGTTCCGTATCTCACGTTCCCTTCTGGCAGCTGTGTGGTCAGAGGCTGTGCAACTGCTGCTGCAGCCAAGGAGCCAAGCTCCACACAGACAAAAAGGGAGACGCTATTGCCATCAACACCCCAGGCCTTGGCCAGACCCCTCCCTGCTGACATGCATGTCACATGTCAGCAGGAAGTACCCCTGCATTCTGGGGTACTTCCTGTAGTTGCCCGGAGGAGCAGCAGAAGGGCCTGGCTCTGAATGTTCCCCCTGCCAGGGCTCTGCTGTTCCAGCGGGGCTGTGGGAGTGCAGCCTGGAAGCCACGACAGACCAGAGTGACTCTTCCCAGTGACCAGTGCACTCACACTGCTCTGCCTTTTATTTATTTTTTTTAATCCTCACCCAAAGACATTTTTTTATATCATCCTTGTTACTCTACACAACTTGAAACAAACTATTCCCATTCCTTCCGACTCCAATTAAGTGAGAGAAGGAAGAAAGGTAGGCCCTGAGGTGGTGCTCCCTGGTCTAGCCGGGGAAAACAAGGCTGCTCACCCCACTCCTGCACGGGCAGAATGCAGCCTTACTATCTGCATGCCCCAAACAAACCAACAAATCGGTGCACAAAGCCAGGCCCTCACAGCAGGGGGATTATGGGAGGGTCCAGGGTAGGACAGGGATTCAAGCAAGCATATTAGAAAATGGATCCCACAGCACAGGGCATGTGGTGTCGTGCTGAGAAGGCTCAGTTACTTTGGGAGGGGAGAACTTAAAGGATGAGACGTCCAGGCATTTTGCCGAGCGGAACTGAAGGCATTCACCAGGACGGTGTGTGGCTGGCTTAAATGGCAAACTTTGACTAAAATACTTTTAAAGTTGTTTCAAGAGTTTCATATGAAGAACTACTTCATCCATTCTGACATTTTGGAAAATATAGGCTAGATACAGCAGGACACATTAGAAAAAGGTAAAACATAAATGTAAAACATGACACATTCACAGAAGAAACTGGAAATATGAGCTACTTAAGATAAATTTTTTATGGAACTCGGGGCAAAAACAGCCTGTTGGGAGGCCCAGGACATCCTTTTGCCTGGTGGAAGGCAGCAGGATTGGAAGGTAGTTCAGCCCAGCCTGGAAAAACACGAGAGGCATTTATCCATGTCTGCTCACAGCTCTGAACACAAAACTGTCACCCTTTGCTCTTTACAGACAACAGGTTTCTTCCTACTAAGAGTGGGGCACAACACTGACGTACAGTACTAGGAAAGAAAAACTGGTACTATCTACAATTAGAGTCCGTCCCTGAGCAGAGCCTGCAAGCCCAGACAGAGGTGGTCTGGCTAGCCACCTAGAATGAAAATGCCTCGGGAAAAGCCAAAGGAGCTCGCTGTTAAACACCATTGTCAGCTAAAAGGAAAAGAAATCCCTTTTAAGGAAACTATTTAACTTCAATAGGCTGCTTTTCTGCCAGGATTTTCAATTCCTCTGAACATAAGCCGAGACACAGACTGCTGCACGTATGTCTGGATGCTGCTCCCCCCACCCCCCAGCTCCAGCACCAGTTGTTAGCCCAAAATAAACCCCATTCCACAACCATATATGTCCACCAGCCCAGAGCTTGGGAGGAGCAGCAGGAGGTAGGTCAGGTCCCTGGGCTCCAGCCTTGCACTGTGGCCACTTCGCACCATGCACATCACCCAGCTCAACCGGGAGTGTCTGCTGCACCTCTTCTCCTTCCTGGACAAGGACAGCAGGAAGAACCTCGCCAGGACCTGCCCCCAGCTCCAGGATGTGTTTGAGGACCCTGCACTCTGGCCCCTATTGCACTTCCGCTCTCTCACAGAACTCAAGAAGGACAACTTCCTCCTAAGCCCGGTGCTCAAGAACCTCTCCATCTGCTGGCACTCGAGCCGCGTGCAGGTGTGCAGCATTGAGGACTGGCTCAAGAGCGCCTTCCAGAGGAGCATCTGCAGCCGGCACGAGAGCCTGGTCAATGATTTCCTCTTCCAGGTGTGTGACAGGTAGGTCACCTCCTGAGCAGCATTGGCACTGGCATCCAGAGCTCTAGGAGGCGTCTAGAGGGGCAGGAAAGAGCAGCTCAGGAGATGGCTCTGCTTTGGGAATCCTCAGACTAGGCCCAAGCAGACCCGCCAGGCCCATCCACAGCCCATTCCCTGGAAGATGGATAAAATCATGGGGGAAACAAGCTCCTCTTAGCCTCACAGGTTCTAGAGCAAAGAGGAAGAACTGGGCTTCAGCTGTCGCTATTCTTCTGCCAGCTGTCTTCCCTGGCAGCCACCAAGTGGTGGGTGGATCCAGCTGGGCAGAGATTTTCAAGGTCAGACCTCAGGAAGAGATTCCTAGATTCAGCAATCAGCTCACTCCTCTACTCCCTTTAGCAAGCAAACCCCAGGGCTTGTGAACTGCAGCTGAGGAAGGAGAGCTGGGGTGCTCTGGGTTAGTTGAACCAAGCCCGACTCAGGGAAGGGGTAGTGATACATAGTCATGGTTTCTTCATTAGAAACTTGCTAATCTTCACAGTTCTCCAGGGGGTGGGGGTGAGGTGTTTTAGTCTAATTTTTCAAATGAGCAAACCGAAGCTCTAAGAGGTCGTGTTATTTGCCCACAATCTAGGATTGCTAGATTTTAGCAAATAAAAATTCAAGACACCCTGTTTAATTGGACTTTCAGATAGAGTATCTTCTGTTTGTTTTAAGTGTGTTCAGATGCATCCCGTATTTGATATGTCAGCCATATCGCAGACAGAGGCTGAGCCACACACCAGGCTCCCACCACCGTCAGAGCCTCCTGCCTAGAGCAAGGACACAGACGTCCTCAGCCAGGCTCTTACTGAGCCCTTAGTCCGTCCTGCCTTTCAGGAAAGGCACTCCTTGGCTACTCCCTAGGCTTGGCCAGCTTGCTGCCGCCCAGGTAGAATAGCTGCTGTTTGCTGGCAGCTATTATAGAAGGAATAGTACAGGGATAGAAGAAAATAGTGTAGTGGCCCCAGCTTTTCTTTTTTAAGGCTGTAGGAAGAAAACAGGATGGACTTGGGACTAGCCCCTATTGGGACCAGGCCATTTTGATGGGTTTAACAAGTTCTGCTTTTTGCTGACAACTTTATATAGGCTGTCTGAGTTAGAAATAACTGTACAAATACATGTACAGTTGCCCAGTCCCCTCTCTAACCTAAAGCAGACTGGAGAGTGATACCTATGGGGCAGAAAGCTTGTCCTGAAGATGTTCCGGTCTTGCTGTAAGAGAACCATCTCCAATCTCCCAAACCAGCAAGGTGTGGAATGGGCCTCTCAGGCCACTGCTGCAGTAAGGGCTGCCAGCGTCACAAAAAGTGCAAAGGGCTTGGAGGTCAGGGTTCTGTGCAGAGTGACACAGTTCTGCTACTGTCTGACCATGTGACCCCAACCCAAATGTTTAAACTTTCAACCTCCTTTCTTCATCTGTTAAATGGGATAAATTGCCTGTCTCACAGGCTAATAGGATTAAAAGACACTAGCACTAACACATAGTATGTATAGAGAAGTATCAAATCTGGTTCTTTTGGCAATCAGCTGGGGTGGGGGGGTGGGGGTGGTGAACAGCCTTGGCTGGTTGGGCAAGGAGAGAGTTGGCTCTTTCTCTGGTTTCTTCCCAAATCAGAATTATTCTAAAGATTTTTAAAGGGATCCCTCAGTCCTTGGGTCTTAAACACCTAATCCGCATAATCTCTGGAAGGTAACAATTCTTCCCACTTGACACATGGAGTTGGCTCTGAAGTGTTCAAACATTAGTCCTGGGTCCAACCAGCAAATAAATCACAGGCAAGTCACTTGGGCTCTCTGGACCAGTTTCTTCACTCACAAAACCAAGGGTCCAGAAGACCAAGAAAAGCATCTGAACTTGGGAGATGAATTGGTTCAGTGTGTGATATGTGGCCTTGCAGTCTATTTTGGTTCCATTCCCCGCTGCCCCAGGCACAAGGGAGCCAAGCTAGCCAAGGCAGATGCAGTCAAGGGACTGAGGGGAGGCTGATAGGGAAAGGGACAGGGACAGGGACACCCCCCCCCCCCAAAAAAAAACAACTGGTTGAGTCCGGCTCCCTCTGGTTACAGGGAGCCAAGGCCTCTGCCCACCATAGGCCCTTCTTGACTAGAAGCAGGCTGATTACTCCCAGAAGAGAGTTACAATTGCGTATAGAAGGCTCTTTAAACCCCAAATCGAAATCCTCACAACCCCACTGGCAGGCAATATTCCCTCCCTACTGCCTCACAGGGAAAATTAGGCTCAGTGAGTGACTTAGGCCAAAGTCACACTGCAAATCAGCCAAGTCCAACTTTGTTCAAGGTCTTTTTCTTTATCAGGTGCTGGTAAGGCTGGGGTAGAGGGGCCGCCAAGCTTTGGACAAACTACTTCTGTCCCTGACTGGACTCACCCTGGGGCTGGTTCTAGCTACCTCTGGCTCCTGACCTTTGGCAGTCTGGGGTCACAGTGGGAACACAGTAACTGCCCGTCAACTGAGCTGAAACCAGGGCTTTAGAACCCAGGGCCCCCGCCCCTTCCCCTCGGGGTTGAAGTGGACCTGTCTCAAAGCCACCCCCAGGAAACCCTTCCTCCTGCTCCCCTCCCGCCAGGCTAGTCAGGGCCTCAGCTCAAAGGTCGCCTGGCGTGGTCACCACACACCGCACGGCTTTTCTCCACCACCCGAGGCAACAGAGAACTACAGTTGTCCCTCTAGGAACCAGCCTCCCCTCTGTCCCAGCAGGACCAGGGCCTGGGTTCCCCACTGGGGCTAAGAATCCACGGAGATTCCGGTAGGGCGAAGGGAAATGTGACACAGCCCCGGCTCCGATCCTGGCCGCGTCATCGCAGGCAGTAAGCTCCTTAGAGCTCGCGGGCTCCGGCTCCTCCTCTGTTAACCGCGGAGGGTCCTGCACCGCCTCCCGGGGCAGTGTGGAGGCTGACCGAGCCAGTGGGCGCGGCGGGGGGCGGGCTAACCGGGTCCTCCTCGGCTGGGACCCGCGGTTACTGCGTTGTCTCCGCAGGTGCCCCAACCTGGCGTCCGTCACGCTGTCCGGCTGCGGCCACGTCACCGACGACTGCCTGGCACGATTGCTGCGCTGCTGCCCGCGCCTGCGCACCTTACGCCTGGAGAACTGCGCGCGCGTCACCAACCGCACGCTGGTAGCCGTAGCAGCGCACGGGCGCGCGCTGCAGACGCTGCACGTGGATTTCTGCCGCAACGTGAGCGCGTCCGGCCTGCGCCGCCTGCGTGCCGCGTGCCCGCGCCTGGCTCTGCGCGCCGAGCACAGCGCAACCATGATCCCCGACCAGCCGCCGCGCGCTCTGCCTGCGCCGGGCGCGGCCCTTCGCAAGCTGCTCCCACGCTAATCCGCCGCGCCGCGGAAGGACACCGGCCACGGCCCGCGCGGGGAGCCGCTGGGGCTCCTCCACCTCCCAGACTGTCGCTGTATCTTCTGAGCCTGTTTACCCGTTTGCAAAATGGGGATATGAACGTCTACCTCATTTATGATTGTATGGACATGACGACGAGATTAAATGACCCGAGGCTGGAGAAACCCGAGGGGTTCTCACTAAACACCAGCACCTTTGCCCGCCGCTTTCCGCAGCCGCAGGAGGCGCCCACACCCTCGGGGCCTGGACCGCCTCGTTGGGGGAGTAGGGGCGCACGTCCAGAGAGACAATGGCCGCCCGGCTGCGCTCGGGGCGGGGCTGACTGACGGCCGACCGCTCGCTCCCGCAGACCCCTTAGCGGCCCTCGGAGGCCCCGCCGACGACGCAGGCACGGGCTTCCGAGAAGGTGGCCTCGGTGCTGCGCTAGCGGGCGGGAGGAGGGGAGAAACGCGGGCGCGACAGAGGCTCCTGCCGGGACAGGCTCGGTGCCGCCCCCGCCTCGGCTCCCGCCCGCGGCTTTGCTCCGCGCCCACACCAGCCAGCCCCCTTTTCCTTGGGAAGATAGGTGCACTCCTAGGAGTGAACTGCACACACGCTTCTACGAATTCCCTCGTTGATGTGATTCTTACATAAATTGCATAGTTATCCTTATTTTCCACCGTTCTAATATCATAAAGGAAAAGGAAAGCATTTCAAAACCCCAGAGCAGAGAATTAAAATTTAAAAAAGCAGCAGTCCTGATAATGAAACCATTATAAACTGATGCAAAGTTAGATTTTTACCTGCTGGATTTGTTGAACGTAGGCACACGCCAGGACTTATGTTTCAAGAATTTGGTTACTGATGTCCCACCTTTTGCCACCAAAGTAAAGGCTCTTGGTCACCCGGTAGCTTCCTGGTCCCAGGTCCATGGGGAAAACTTTGGTTACGTGGGCAAGTCAAGGAGCACTCAAGAGTGGTGGGCGATGCTCACTCTGGCTCCGCCCATCACTCGCTGAGACCAAGACCCTTTCTTTACACACCTGAGGCCAGGTGTTTCTTTGTAGAAGGGGCGTTTCATCCCTACTCGCGGGTTCCTTAATTTGTTGCCCAAATATTGGGGGAATAGCAAGGAAAAAGAGACAAGTTCTAATCTCATGGTGCTAACATTCCACTGGATGCAAAGACACTAAGTTCCCACTTTTCGTCAATGAGGTTCTTGGAACTGGGACAAATGTGCCTATACTGAAACCAATTTTACCATAGGCTAATTGACATAAACAAGTTAATTTCCTAGCGTCTCATTAATGTTATAACTAAACAACATTGAATGAAACCTTATTCGAGGTATTTGGTATATAAGATAAGTACCCAGGGAAGCAGGGTGGGGGAAAGCATCTTCAAAGGGGTTGACCATTGTAAGCCTCATTGAGAAGGTGGCATCTGAGACATGAAGTGAGGGAGAGAAGGGGAGAGGGAGTAAAATATTCCAGGAAGAGGGAGCAGTTGGTTCACAGGCGCCATACTAGAGCTCAGTTGGTATAGTAGAGGAATAGGGAAATAAGGGGAGGTTGGTGTGGATAGAGAAGAGAGTGAAGAAGAAAGGTAAGGAGGAGAGGAGATCAGAGAAATAAGGGATGGGGGAGGCCTCAAAGGTTATTGTAAGGATGAAATGAGAGCTGGATATCTCCCACCCAGCCAATGCAGAGAGATCCAGGTGAAGGCCAAGAGGTGTTGACATTTCTCCAGGCAGAACCTGTGGGCAAGCAAGCAGAACCCCGCCCTGCCCCCACCCCTCCAGGAACTGCTGAAAGCCTCAGTTGCTGCCCCTGGGCTCCTGCTTAGTCTGGAAACGGGTGCACACTGAACCCCAGCCTGGCAGAATCCCTCCTCATCCCTGTGTGGGAAGAGCCAGTCCCTCAGGCCACCACCTGCAGTGGGGGCGGGCCCACCACTAGCCATTAGATGAGTTACCTCTGGGTGATTTTATAGTTTACCCACCCGTGTGCTGGGCTCGGGAGAGAGGCCTTGTAGGAACTTCATTTTCTCCCACCACAGCAAACAATGTTGAAAGAAAGTTCAGGCTTCCAGGGGTTAAATGTTTAAAACAGAGCCTCTTAACACCCAGGACTTTGCTTTTGTCTTCTCTGATAAGCCCCAATTCCCAGCAGGCCATTTACCCGAGTTAGTGGTTTAGTCTGGGGAGCAACAGGGTTGTGGTTTCTGGCTCTCCTCTGACCAGGGCAGGTCAGCTTGCTCCAAACTTCAGCTTTCTGACCTGTGTATTGGGATAGCTAGAGAATCCTGCTGCCAGGGTTTTTGTAAGGAGTACGAGACTGTGTTTGTAGGGCAGAGGTCACTGCAAGTTGAGCTGGAAAGGGGTAACCTGCATTCCTCTGAGGCCCCTTTCCCATGGATGCTCTTTTACAAATGAGGTTCAATTCCCTAGCTAAGTCTTCAATGCCTAATAAACCCCACATACCAAGACTGCAGTGATCACAGAACTAGACCTGGGTCCCACATTGTTTCTGGGGCTCTAATTCTGCCCCACCCCATCCAGGAAAGTTTTGGGTCCCTGAGCCAAGGGCCATCTGAAGTGCTCCTAGAAGGTGGGCACTGACGGAGACCCATGGCTGCCACTCTGCCTCCGGTCACTGCTCCCCATCAGCAGGCACTGAGCAAAGCACCTGACAGAACAGTGCCCTGCGAATTTTAAAGACAACTTTCTAGGTGCTCTCTCAGACTTGCCCAGAACAAGGGGATACTGCGTGCTTCATTAATGCATAGACTCATTCATCTAGCAAACAGTTACTGGGTACTGGTCATGGGCTGGGCTAAGCCCTACCTTAAAGGACTCACTAGTCATAAAACGTGGCTTTGGTTGAGGGGAGCTTTCGAGTGCTCTCCCAGCTCCATCGTTGATAACGTCTGACAAGTCATGACCTCTCTGAGTTTCAGGTTATCTGTAAAACAGGACCCCCTCTCTGCGACACTGTGATGAGATGACGTCTAAATGTGCAGTGCCTGGAAGGTAGGGGTAGGGAAAAGAGTCCTCACTTCCTTGGGGGGGCTAGAAAAGCCAAGTGCCTAGCAGAACCCACAAGGCCTGGGCACTGGGAAGAAGCAATCTAGCTCTATACAGGGGCGACTGAGGACCACCTGACGAGGACAGAGCCTTTGAGCTGAGCCTGGAAGATTGACTGCAGCTCCCACAGGTTCCAGCGGTGGGGAGGGTGTTCCTTCAGCAGGCACAGCTCAACACAGGCATAGGGAGGAAGCTCAAGGCAAGCCCAGAGAAGGGCAAGCTGGGGAGATGGGGCCCTGACTGTTTGCTGCAGGCAGGTGGAATGGACTTGGAGTTACCTATGCCTTCATAGCCTCCATCAGAATAGACCAGACTTACCCCAGCTCCTGAATGTCAATTCTTCTCATTCTGTTGTGGCCAAGTCAGTCAATAGCCACACAGAGGGAAAGCTAGGGGGAGGGTGCAGGACCTTAGCAGTGGGTCAGGACAGTGTCCCTGGCTGGAGGCTGACCCCCGTTACCACATAGAGCTGGCTGGTTTGCACAGAAACCTCAGTGCCAGCAGAGAACGGGGCCACATGCTTTTACGTCAGGGGCCCCAAATTGCTTCCTGAGAGGTGGAATCTTCTTGGGGAGTGGCGCTGAGGCCTGTTTTCAGGGACACACTGGCCAGTTTCTGCACAGGCTGAATGTCTGGACGGGACTGAATGAGCCCCTATCAGCTCCAACGCTGGCACGCTGACAGGAAGCGGGACCCTCGGCTCTAACCTGTGCATATCTGTGATCCAGTGCTTTCCCTCTCCTGACCCCGGATTCTTGGCCTGTAAGGGGATAAACTGACCCCTTAGCTCTAGGACTCACCCAGCTCTAGGATTCCATGCCGAAGACTTGCTTTCTGCTAAAAAGCTAGTTAACCAGATGTAGGTTTCTCACGGCTGGCAGTGCTAAGCAAAGGTCACAAAGCTGGAAGGCCCAGAACAAAGCACTACCTTGAAGAACCTTTGGGGGAACCTTAAATTTTAAAGGCTGGAGGTCAAAGTTCTCTTGAGACTAGTTATAAAAGGGTCGTAAAAAACTACAAGGATTTGTTAACTGAAAGAGTCCAGCAAACAGAAAAACTGCCCAAGCAGCCACAGGGGCTGAAAGTGACCTAAGGAAAAGAAATACATGTACTGGGCTCATTTCAGCTCTTCTGAGCAGGGACTCAGGCCTCCCCCTCCTTTCCGGGCTTCCAAAGTCAAGAGAATGAAGAAAAGTGACAGGTTTCCAGCAAAGAAATGGCATCTATTATCAAATAAGACGTCAGTGCAGATTTTCCTCGTAGGTCAGGAGGTCTGACCCTATGTCCATTAGGCCTGACATAGTGAGGCAGGATAGTAAGAAGCTAGGAAAATTCCTGGGCAAGTGGAATGGGGAAACAGACAAGAAAATTAAACATGGCCAAACAATGTGAACAACTTATATCCAGCTAGTGAATCACAAGACCTTATCTTCCATAGCCAAGGACACTTGAGAGCAAATGGTTCATACTTCTCCTCCCTTACCAGGGGATACATAGTTTAAATCACCCTGGTCAGGGAGATAGAGGACAGAGATCCAATTAATGTCATTTGTGCCAGCCAAACCCAAGGACGGATAAAGTCAGGGGAACAAATAAGAAAAACTCAATTAGAGCCAAACAGACCCAAGATAAAAGTAAAACAGTTAAGTACACCAAAGAATAATCCCTCATTACCTTATAGGCTCATTTTGATGTGTCAGCATATTAAAAACACACCTGGAAAACTAATGAATATTCTACTGAAACACTCCCCTAAAATTCTCACCTGCAGAAGAGTAAAAACCCTTAGTACAAAGACCCGATGCAAGCTCGCTCTAGTGCACGCCCATGCCTTTCTTGAGCATGAACTTTTTACTTCTTCCTAAACTCTAAGGGTCCCCACAAGACTTGCAACTAGGGGAGCAGTGGACAG